ATGCATGCATTCTTCCGGACTTCACCGTAAGTTTTAGTGACGCTGAGCTGCGACTATGTGCGATGATGAGGAGCATCGGTGTTATCTTTGACAGCGGCCTGGCCCAGGATTCGCACGTGTCTGAGCGCCCTGGCCCGGGATTCACGTGTGTCGGAACGCCCTGACCCGGGATTCACACGTGTCGGAGCGCCCTGGCCCGGGGTTCGCTCGTGTCGGAGCGCCCTGGCCCGGGATTCACACGTGTCTGAGCGACCTGGCCGGGATTCAAGCGTGTCTGAGCGTCCTGGCCCGGGATTCACACGTGTCTGAGCCCAGCCGCCGGTGCGTTAACGCGCTGACGGACCTGTCCGATGCGCGGCACTGCCCTCCTGACGGCGTCATCAAGACTCTGGTAACACAGCGCCGGTGCTCTTGCAGATCCGGTGCTGTCGCATGGTCTACGGTAACGAAGCACAAAAGAACTGCCATCGAATCGAAAGAATCTGAAACTTTGTGGTCAGAGTGATATTTGATGTATGTGGAATTTGACCACGTGTCTGACCTGCGTGAGACACTTCGATGGGTGTCGCCTCGACATACGGGCGAATTCGAACCGGTCACCCGGCTCATAAGGTGATGCTTCACGGCGAGCTCGTTGTGCTTAGACACCCGTCTGTGTGAAACCGCGAGGCACATGTGCGACCCACTCGGCAGGATGGGCTCCTACATCTTCCTAGGCTGGTAACCGAGGTCGGTAGGAGACGTTTCGGGTACCACGCGCCAGCATTGTATGATGCACCTCCAGCCGACCCTACACAGCCAGCACAGCAGCGTTTCGCACGCATGGTGAGAGCGCATCTGTCCAGCTCTAGCGCTGTTGGTAATCGTAAACAGAAAGCTTACTGTGTGTTTTATCATTTGTACCCGAATATTTGTCTCCTGTACATTGGCCCGGAGCTGTAATAACCACGCTCCGTTAAGGATGTTGTTTTAGAAGTTAAGTATGTCAACATGAGACGCTGTTTGTTGCAATTAGCAGTCTAAAAGCTGTTGTTGTTGAAACCTAAAAGCTTTTTTGCTTTCATCATGAGGCATTGCCATAAAGTTAGCGTGGCTGCTAAACCGCCCAAAACGACTGGAAATACAAGGATTGCGCTTGTTAAAGATTAGACGCTTTGGATATTACACGCAAGAATACAGCAGTTGCACTGCAGGAAAATACAGCTTAAGATTAGTTTGTATTCTGGCTGCCTCGCTGCATCAAGCACCTATAATTATACTTCACCGGGTAGCTTCGAGCTTGCACCAATGTTGCTTTGTTGAAATAATTATCTGTTTTACCTGGTATTGCTTTTGCTATGCCGGCGTTCAAGTTCATCGCGTTACGGCCGGTGGAAAGCGCAGAAGTGGCAATATGCCAGGTTTTCAGGATTTTCTGTGGTTCCTCAAGCGCTTTTTTGAACCAGAATCTTTTGCTCACTCTAGAGACAAATATCGTTTTTTTCGCAATGCTGATCCCATTCCGTGTTTCAGAAACTCTCCAATATGCCTGAGAATATCACGTTCATGACATTTGAAAAATAGACGCTCTGGATGTTGGGCAACACTGGTCTTGATATCCATATTAAAAACGTGTCGGTTCATGTGACTTGGTCATTGTTCTTCGTTCGAGTGGTAAGAACCAAGCAGATGCTGCATACCTTATCTGAAATGCTCAGCGTCGTGAACAACATAAAAACTAGATGCTAGATAGGCACACATGTATACATGTGTACCTATCGGATGCGTATCAGTGTGACAGAGCAGCGCGAAGCTTCGCAGAGTGCAATCATTTTTCGTTTATTTAGCACGCAGCTGTTGCGTGGCTTACATTTGTTTTATCTTCAACTTTTTAGACCAACAAAAAGCCGGGCTAACCAGCAAACCAGCGCACTACGGACCGCGGCCATGGTCCTCGATGGTCGAGCCGCGCGTACCTGTACGCGCGGTGGTGTCGCGACGCATGAATGAATTATAACCTGCTCATCCCTGACTCAACGAATCGGATGGCGACTTTCCATGTATTAATGTGATACCGTCCGCCGATGCTAATTTCCACAAACTACAGATCATCCAAGGGATAGTAAGCACCACCAGGCCTACAGTTGGCTGCAGGACATTGCCCCTGTGCAGAGCAAGCGTGCCTGCTTGCGTTGAGCGCCTCAGTTTCATCCACAGCCCGGCACCTTGTCTTCAAACTCGCACTTATGTATCTGCTCCGAGAAGGCGGTGCCGTTCGGGCAGCGGAAGAAGAGCGAGCGGCCGTTAGAGCACTCGAAGAAGCAGTGGCAGTCGTCGGGGTCCGGGTACAGTCCATCCTTTTTGCTGTCACAGTCATACGCCGGCGTGGTCGTCCCGCCCTCGGAACCATCTGCAAGCGGACCGGGTCAGTTGCAACTGGCTCCCTGTTTGTTATTGCATCACATAAATAACAAAGTATGCAGCCATAGTGGCCGACGTGCCCAGCGACCACCTAACATCGCAGGCCCTCGTGTCAGGGGACGCACTTGGGAGAGGGAATTCGAGGCGAGATCAACACCTGCGCGTTTGAATATATATATATATATTATATATATATATATATATATATGTACTGATATATATATAGATATATATATATGTATATAATATATATGTATAAGATATATGCATATATCCAAATATGTAGCTTTAGATGCTGTTTTCAAATATATATCCCTAAATAAATATATTACATACACGGGTGTGTGTGTGTGTGTGTGTGTGTGTGTGTGTATGTGTGGTGTGTGTGTGGGTGTGTGTGTGTGTGTGTGTGTGGTGGGTGTGTGTGTGGGTGTGTGGTGTTGTGTGTGTGTGTGTGTGGGGTGTGTGTTGTGGGTGTGTGTGGTGTGTGGGTGTGTGGTGTGTGTGTGTGGTGGTGTGTGTGGTGTGTGTGTGTGTGTGTGTGTTGAAAGATGTTTACAAGATAACACAAAAAAATGAGCCAATACGCACTGCAAATGAAGCAACAGTGCTCTCGCCATCATAATGCTTATCGTCAACTTGGTTTAAAGATTTTTTTAGGTTTTTAAGATGGCTACCTATTACATGGTTATTGTTAGGCTAACGCCGGTCAGGCGCCTTACGTGGTTGATGAAGGGAGCGCGGTGGCAGCAGACGTGACAGCTATGACCTGCCATTGTGTAGGTCGTAGCGAACCTTAACGACTGGAGCCGGACACTTGTGGATACCCCGTCACCCATAATTATGAGTCAACAGCATCAATGCATTACAAAATCGTGATTGTTATGTTTTCATACTGTAAATATACCAGACTTACACCAATGGAGTCGGTAATGGAGCCAGTCTATTAAAAAAATTCATGCAATTGACCTTGATCAAAGCATTGGAAAATTGTAACACATTTGTCTGTTGGTATCGTGCAGATGGGGCTAAACACAAACCAACGGAATCGATATTTGTTGAAACCAATATAAATGGGTTCCATCAACACCCAGAAAAATCGTGACGGATATCAGCT